AAAAAAAGCAACTAAATGCCAGGACGCTGAGTTGAAGAGAGGAAGCAGACAGTTCTGGGTCAGTGAGTTTCGACTGTCACAAGACTCCCCTCTACTTGATGAAGCCTAAAAACAACAACAGGACCTGGGTGGGAGGGTTTCTGTATCTTCTTTCACTTCTCAGTTTTAGGAATGAATCCTGAATGACAGACTTTTAGAATAAGCGCAGGGTTACCTCCAGTCACGCAAACATCTCGGTTTCGTTTCTGGTAATGGAGCCAGGGCACCACCCAGTGGCCATAGTCGCGCATTACAGCCCAAAGACCCCAGTTCGGTGTTTTCCTAAAGCAGGATGCAGAGCCTGAAGCCTCCCTAGTGGTGCGTGGCAGCTCCCACCGGGCATCTCACGTGTACAGAAAACAATCTTAGATCAACTTCATGGAATCTTAAGCCAACGAGGGAGGACCAAACCCAGCCCATAGAAAACGTCCCTCCCATCTCCTTTCTCCCAGGAGCTCACGTACCTGTGACTGCTGCCCAGCAAGGCCAGGTGGTCTGTTTTCACCGTGTAGTAGCCGAAGGGCATGTGAGCCATGAGGTAGCAGAAGTGAGCAGCCTCCACAAGGCCCTTTCCAGCTGCGGGAGGAGAGTGAGACCCCGTCAATGAGCCGCACCTATATGGGGACCCCATCCCCGAGTGGCTTCCGAGGACAGAGGGAGAAGTGTCACAAGAATAAATGAATGGTCTTCGTACAAGATGCATTCACTCCCCTCACTCCCCTCAGCATCGAATGCTTTACATTTCAATTCTCACCAGCCAAAATGAGGCACTATTTCATGATCCCCTGATGCATTTTTTAAAAAATATTTTTCTTCTGTTGCTGTTGTTGGGAATATACACAGGAAAGCATGTGTCAATTCATCATTTTCTACATATACAATTCATTGACAATGAGTCACTGTGTGACAATTACAGTTTTTGAGTTGAGCAAGCATTCACATACTTCTTTTTTTTCGTTGTTCTTCCCTCAGCAACAAACTCAAAAGCTCTTTAAGATTTCTGTGTAATCTTTCTAGTTGTTCTTGTCAGTTGGATCCCACGTAGAAGATCTTTTCACGGATCATAATACTCAAGGCAAAAATTATTTACTACTGAAGATAAACTATCATTTTCTATTAAAAGGACTTGAGGCTACTTATTTTTTTTTAAGAGTGTGTGTGTGTGTGTGTGTGTGTGTGTGTGTGTGTGTACCATCAAATCAGATCTGACTGGTGCAGGAGGAGATTGTCCCTCCTTCTCCAGCAGAGCATCTAGTGGATTCAAACTGGGTACCTCTGGGATTGCAGTGCAGCTTCTTGCCACTAGGCCACCAGAGCTCACCAAGGCTACTTATTTTTAAGAAGACTTTAGGCTTCTTATTTCATATTTATGGCTCAAGGGATAAAGATTCTCTCAGGGAAGTTGTTTCAGGAGTTTGTCCAGCTTCCATGCCTCCAGAAAGTCTGGATTCCATGAGAACGTGAAATTCTATCCTGTTGTTTGGTTGGTTTTGGGGTCCCTCCCAGCCCTGCAGTATAGACTTTTCTAGCACGTTAGCCCTTCCTGAAGATAAGACATGATAGACAGATTAGCACCTGAGCAAAGGCCTGGGCTGCTGAAGTAGCAGTTCTTAAATTAGGTGTCTGGAAGTACTAACATCAGGCAGGAGACTTTTCCAGGACTCAAAAATCACATCAATTACTAAGTGTTTTTCTCCCCAATTTAAAAATGTTCTCCCAGTGTTTCCCATTACCTTGAAACTGAATTTATTTGAGTATGTAAAGTACCAAACACAGCGCCTACTACCAAAGAAAAGCTGAAAACGGTAAGTTCCTTTTCCTGTAGGCAGGGCATGAGCAGCCCCAGGTAGCGGGGCCCCATAATTCTTCTGTGGAATCATTTAAGCAGAGCAGAATTTCACAAAGTTCCATACAGAGCACCACGATTGCTAGATGTCCTGGCCCTTAAACAAATTTGAGAGCCATTGATCTGGAACATTGGACAGGCCCCTCGGTGTTTATAAGGCCATGTCTACAGAGATATGATAGAGAGAAAAGATGACACAATTACCCAGGGTAGTTCAGGCAAAGGTAGAATTTCCTGTCTGACTGAGCTGGGTCACCGAGGGACTAATGGCAACACTGGGCAAGGTGGCTTGTGTGCCAGCTCCATCTACATTCACCCGAGATGGAAACAACTGCTGAGAAGCCTCCCTCAGAAGAATACCAGCATCCAGAGCGTGGCCTGCACTGGCTCACAACACAAATTCTGAGGAGAAAGGCAAGCAGGCTATTTCTTTTCCTGGGGTTCTTCCTCCCACCCAAAACACTGAGGATGTAGAGTCAAGAAAAGGCCTGACATGGAAACTCTGACCAGATACCAGGAACTGAGGGCGGTGTATTCAGAGCACACCTGGAGGTGCCCCAGAGAAGAGGAAGGAGCAAGGAGCGAGCGAGAGACAGATGGGAAGACCCAGGCTCTGCTTACCCAGGGTATCGCCCATGGTGACAATCGCACGCTGATGCAGCTCAGGGTCCCCAGCCTGATTCGACAGAATCACCGCCAAATGAGGCCTCCAGTCTCCCCACTGCTTGTCCCCACAGCACTGAAAAATAGCAGAAAAGAAAGTTTTGAATAAAGCCAGGCTACCAGCAATGTGGAATCCCTGGATGAGGCAAATGGGTAAGTGTTAGCACTTTACGATCAGCCAAGAGGTTAGTGGTTTAAATCCACCCATGGATGCCTCTTGGTGACCTGCTTCTGAGCTGTCGTGGCCGTGGGACACCCTGAGGAATAGTGCTGCTCTGCACACATGGGGTCACTATGCATTAAATTTGACTCAGTGGAAACCCAAAACAACAATCAGAATTCAGTCAGAAAATGCTGTTGGCTGGCTCCTGGTTTGGAGGGGCTTAGCGAATACCTGTTAAACGGTCTATGATGCTACCATTCACTGATTTAGGGCTCTCTTTAAAAATTAAAAAGCAAAACTCATAGATGGAAGGAAAGATGGCTGGGTGGGCAGGTAGCACGCTGATGATAGTCAGACACATACACAGACAGACAGACAGAGAAATGATTAATATATGTTTTTGTGTGCCATCGAGTCAGAACAGACTCATAGTTGACCCACAGTGGGTTTTTTTCAGAGGCAGTAAATTGCACAGGAGGAAATTGCCCATCCTTCTCCTGCAGAGCAACTAACTGGTGGATCCGAACCACGTGCCTTTGGGGATTGCAGCACAAGTTCTTACAACTAGGCTACCAGAGCTCCCTGAATAGAGAAGAGTCATTGTGATGTTGGAGAAGAATATTGACTATTCCATGGATTGCCAAAAGAACAAACAAGTCTTTCTTAGAGGAGCAACAAAGTAAAATTTCATCGTGCATGTTTTAGGCATTTTGACAGGAGTCCCCACAAAAGGATTAGCAAGGTGGAGGGACTGAGAAAGAGAGAAAGACCTTAAACAAGTTGGATTGTCGCAGTGACTGTAACAATGATCTGGAGCATATCAGAGACTGTGGGGATGGCACAGGATAGGGCAAGGTTCTGATCTGTTGTTCAGAGGGGCGCTATGCTATGGCTTGGAAGCCACCACCACCATGGTTATTTACTAATTTTTTAGTCTCTTTCTGGTACTCTCACCCCAAGCAGCCAGAGGTGGAGGTTGTGTTTCAGTGGGACGTTGAGGAAGAAACATCCTTGGCTCATGCGTAAAAGCGATCACAGTAACTTGTCACAGAAGCCCGGGGAGCTCGGGCTCCTTAATCTAAATGGCTAATATATTTTGGCTTTACAAAGACCTTTCACACACATCATTTTAATCAATCTTTACAACAACCCTTGTTATGTGCCATCGAGTCGTTTGCGACTCATAGCGACCCTATGTACAAGAGCCCTAAACGCCATTCTATCCTGTACCAACCTTGCCGTCTCAAACACATTCATTCCCACCACTCCACTCACAGAATCGATCCATCTCATCGAGGATCTTCCTCTCCTGCACCATCGCTCCCCTTTCCCAAACATGATGTCCCTCTCCAAGGACCAGTCCCTCCTTGCAACATGCCCAAAGTATCAGAATCCTTGACTCCAGGGAACATTCTGGTTTCACCCTCTCCAGGACAAACCTGTTTGTTCTCCTAGCAGTCCATGGTATATTCAACACTCTTCTCCAGCACCATAGCTCAAAGGCATCAATTCTCCTTCTATCACCCCCATTCACTGTCCAACTCTCCGATGCATAGCAGTAATTGCAAAGACTATAGCCTGGATCAGGCGCAGCTTAGTCTCCAGCTTGACGTCGTTGCACTTCAGTACTCTTGAGAGGTCCCTCACAGCTGACTTTCCCAATGCAATTCATCTCCTGATTTCCTGGCTGCTGTTACCAAGAGTGTTGACTGTGGAGCCAAGCAAACTAAAACTGTTAACTATTTCAATCTCTTCACCATCTATACTGATGCTGCCAATTGACCCAGTGGTGAGAATCTTTGTTTTCTATGAAGTCCAAATCTCATGCCCACTTTAGAAATGAGAAAGCCATGCCAACTGGTCCAAAAGAGGCTCTATCCCTCCTATAGAACAGCAAAGCCACTTCCTTCTGGTGGCCATGCAGAGGCTACAGAACAACGCTAGGAGGCATCAGAAGGAAAACTCAAGCGAACCCACTAGTGATAGCTCTAATTCACAGCCACTCTGTAGGACAGAGCAGAATGCCCCCACAGGGTTTCCAAGACTGCAGATTTGCTGAGAAGCAACTGGTGGTCATAACCCCTGGTCCTTCAGTAAGCATACCAATGTTTGACCCGCTGCACCACCAGGACTCCTGAAGGTGAAAAAAAGCCATGGATTAAAGGAAGTCCCCCATGAGGGATGCTTGCCCTACAATTTGGCTCTGAGGCTGTCCTCTTGACGGTAGGGGCATTTCAGGCGGACAATACCAATAAAGAGCACAACATCACAGGCACTTTGGCCACTTAGTGAGGCAGAGAGGCCACTCCTGGGCCCTGCCTCTTGCTAGCTGTGTGGCCTTCAGTGAATGTCTTTGAATCTTTGTTTCCTCACCTCTAAAGTGGAGACCATCATTTCTACCTGTGAGGGTTATTGTTGAGCGCAGCATGAGATAACTTCATAAAGTATGATGTTTGGGCTTTGTTGCCCTGGGGGAAAGATGTGTAAATGTAAACACACATACAGAATGGGAAGCCCAGCAGAAAGCGGTGATCCCCAAACCTGTTTATCCTCCAACTTGTCTTCACAGAATATGTAGGGCAGGCATTGATCCATGCCATGGACTCAACTAGAACTCTTAGTGACTCAGAGAACAGATTGAAATCTTGCCCTCTCATGTTCCATCCTCACAATCTCCACCAGCCTCAAACCAGTCACTGTGTCAGTCCATCAGCTGAGGGTCTTCCTCTCACTGACTCTACCTTTCTCACCATTATTGTGGCAGTCAAAGCTAGATTTGGGGGTCAAAACGACTGCCACAACTGTTTCCACTTATGGCCATTAAATGTGCACTGACACATAGCTGCCCCTCCGTTGGGCTTCTGAGGCTGTACCTGGCACAGGAAGGGTTTGCCAATCTTCTTCTTGTGAAGTTACTGGTGGAGTCAAACAGCCAGAAAGGCATGTCCTTTGAATCAGCAGCGTGATTCTCCATGGGTGACGCCACAAGGGCTAATTATCTAGGCTTTATAATTATACTAGGAATAAAAAAAAATGTTTATTCTAGTCCATTTTACACTTGCTCCTTGTTTATCAGGGAGATGTAGTGTTGATAAGGAGCAAGAGGATAATTAATTACCATAAAGACAGAGGTCCTCATTTACTGACCTCTGGTCATAAATCAGACCCTCTGCGAAGCACATCTCCAAGCACCAGCCATGTGATCACATTGTACCATGTAAGCCACAAGAGAAGAAAAGCCTTAATGAGGAAAAAGAAATTTGTGTCCTTCTAAATGATTTCTTTTTAAAAATTTAAATAAAAATCACTGATAAGCAAAGCTACCGGGAGCAAACATGCACTACACCTTCAGTGGACCAAGCCTGGTGGTAATACGTTCTCTCATCCTCTCCTTTAATTTCCACAATAGTCCTCTACTTTCCACTTTATTAACACCTTTCATTTTGACTTATTAATCTCCTTTAATTTTCACTTATTAGTTGTTGCAGCTGTTGTTTGGCACTATCGAATTGACTCTGACTCATAGCGACCCTATGAACAACCAATGGGAAGCTTTCCTTGTCCTGCACCTTCCTCAATCTCTGACATGCTCGAGCACATTCTGACAGTCATTGTGGCAATCCATCTCATTGGGGGAGTGGGGTCTTCCTCTCTTTCTCAGACCCTTCACCTTTCCTAGCATGATGTATTTTTCTTAGGATCGACCCCTCCTGATAGCAGCCCCGAAGTACGGGAGACCAAGTTTCACCATCCTTGCCTCTAAGGAACGCCCTGCCTTCATTCACAAAGATGGAAAACAGAGGTTCCGTGAGATTAACTAACAAGGCAAGACCATGCAGTGATAAGCAAACCCTGTGGGTGTGATTCCAGGAGCCCTGGTGACACCACTGGTTAGAGCAGTCAGCGAGGAACCAAAAAGATGATGGTTCAAAACCCTCACCCACTTCTGGGGATAAAGATGTGAGAGTCTGCTTCTGTAAGATTTATAGCCTTAGAAACACGTTGTTGTTGTTGTTGTTGTTGTTGTTGTTGTTGTTGATTGCTGTCTAGTCTAGCAAGACTCATAGCGACCCTATGAACAATAGACATAATGCTTTTCTATAACTATCATCACTTCTCCAAGTTCATAGAGTTTTCAGAGGTATGCAGTTTAGGAAGTGGATGTCACTCCTGCTTCCAAACCTGTTTTACAATTGGGAGCGCTACCAAACACTGTCCACACTGGGAAACCGTTCTGGCATTTGATACCCCAATGGCACAAGGTTCAGCATCACGGCAACCCCAGATTACCTGAGTACAGCAAATTGACAAAGAAACCATATAGGACAGTTTTACTCAGTCCTCTGGAGTGACTATGAGTTGCAATCAACTGGCCAGCAATGGATTTAATTTGGTTTTGCACGGACCTAGTTGCCATTATTTTCCTATACCACACATGGCATGGAACTCAAGTCCAGACTCTTTACTGGGATACTAAGCCAGTGGCATTTCAAGTATTAGCAGGGTCATTCATAGTGGTCACATTTCAACAGAACTTCCCAACTAAGGCAGACTAAGAATGGACTGGTGATCTATTTCCAAAAATTATCGCACTAACACCCTATGGATCATAACAGAATATTGTCCGGCACAGGGATGATGGCTGAACCTCATAGGCTGAAAGAAACCCAAGATATACCGTGACCACCACAAAGGGCTTCAGCACCATGAAAGCAACACGGGACTAAGCCACCTTCATTCTGCTGTACACTGGGTCACCTTGAGTTGCTGCTGACTTGATGGCAACTAGCAACAATGGGGAAAATCCCCAAATCTACTTTATTTTTAATTCTGAGCAACACGAAATACAATAACAAATTAACTACAAAAAGACAGAGGCCTAAAACAACTATGCGATATCATCTCATCCCAGT